GATTCTCCTCGGGCAGCTCCTTACCTTTCCCTAGAGCCAGTGGACACTCAGGGCACCCCAAGACCAAGGCTGCCCCGGGCAGAGAGGCTCCAAAGGTTCCTGGCGGGAAGGCTGCTCATCAGGCCCAGAGGCAGCCCAGGCCAGCTCTGGCCACTTCCTCCCTGGTACCAATCACATGGGGCTGTTTTTCATCTAATGCTGACCACGCTCCCTCCCGCCTTGGCCTCAGCAAGGCTGGAGCCAGGAGAATCACGAGGACGCACGCACGTGCCGAAGCCCACCCGGGGCCTGAGTGGGTGTCCCTCCCACGCACACCAGCAGGGGGTTTTACTTCTGGGCTGACCCCGGAGGCCGGGTTCCCAGTTCTGGGGTGAGGGCCCCGGGGGAACGGGCTCCAGGAGGGTGGCTGGCCTGGTGACTCCTGAGGGGAGGGCTGGCCCCCAGACTTGGCGGCTGAGAACACTCCGGCCTCCCTGGGCCCCCAAGGGGCTGGGGCTCTGGGAGCTCAATGGAGGGGCGGAGGCAGGGCTGGAGGAGGGAGGGGGGAGAGGAGCGGAGGCGGGAATGGGAAACAGGGGTCAGCCAGCGGCTCGGGACACGCGTTGGAGAGAAACATTCCCAGCAGTTTCCCAGGGAAAAGGCGGCGTCCCCTTCCCGGGCTCCGAGCTGGTCCGCGGAGCCGGCCGGACCTCCTGCACACAGGCATCCCCGCGCAGCTCAGCGTAGTAGGTCCCCCGAGGGCAGCCTGCAGAGGCCCGGCATCCCGGCCTTCCTGCCTCTGATCACACTGGCCCCCCGCTTGCTGCCGCTCCCTTCGCCACCCTGAGAGCGCGGAGCCCTCGGGGGCTGCTGGCAATGGCCAGGCAGCGACTCCAGATGTTCACAGCTGGGCCCGGGCCGCCACAGACCTCAGAGTGAACGGAAGCAGGCAGGCGATTTTTACCTGTAGGAGGAGGAGCTGGCAGAGCCCGCAGCCCGGAAGCAGCCGGAGGGCAGGGGAGGGGTCAGTGGGGGGGAGGGGGCTTGCCCTCCCACGCCTCTCCCCAGGCAGGCTCTGCCGCCAAAGATGAGTTTGTTTACAGCCAGGAGACAAGACTTCCTGCTTCTAGAGAAAAGGGCTTTTTTATAGGGGCCTAGAGGGACGGAAGAGAGAGAGCTGGCCCGTGCAAGCCCCAGTGAATCAGAAACACATGGACAGCATTTCCCGACACGAAGCCCTGTCCCCTCCCCTCTCTTGCCATAGCTGGACCCCTGGGACTTAAATCTCGCCAAACCCCAAGCATTAGGAAACCGCTGAAATCTCATGTCTCCCCCTTTCTGTTCCTTGTGCACTGAATGGAGATGGGCCACCGTGGGGACTGGCCGGGGCCCTGCGCCTTCCTGGGCCTGAGCACCCCACATTTGGGTGACCCCAGCTGAGGGAATTGTCCCCTCATCCCTTTGCACACTCTGGTGCCACCTCTGGTCTCCTGGGAACACGGGTGTGACCCCCCCCCCCAAGAGGGCGTGTCTCCCTGGGCCCAGGCCTGCAGACCCCACTACTGCCAGGGTCCATATGGGTTCGGAGGGTGAGAGAGAGTTACAGGGCAGAGTTCTAGAAGGCCTCCATCCAGCTTCTCTTATCAGAGACGAAATAGCGAGCCAGACGCCACTGTTTATTGAACTGTCTCTGCTTCAGGGTGTGCTCGCATTCGTGTGTGTGTGTGTGTGTGTGTGTGTGTGTGTGTGTGTGTGTGTGTGTGTAGGCGGGGGGTAGTCAGGAGGTGGTGGAGTTTGGGGGTGGTGAGTGCAAAGGGGCTGCATGTCTAGAGAATGCCCATGGGTGGCCCAAGGGGGCACCACAGGTCAACCAGGGAGTGCGCATGTCTCAGAATTAAGAGGAAGAGCGCTCACTGTTCGCAGTTTGTGGAACACTTTCAGGCAGTTCTGTCGCTCAGATCCCACGGAGGTGGGCGCCACAGACATGATTCACATTTTAGAGAAAAAGATCTGAGGTTCAGATGGGCCGGCCGAGGTCTTGGCGGAAAAGGGCCTAGAAGCTGTGTCTAGTGGGCTTCTTTCACGGGCCCCGCGTGGGTCTCTGGGCTGGTACCGTTCGGCCTTGCAGCCCCTGATTGCTCTGCCCTCTCCCCAGGTTCCCTGGTCCCACTCCGAGGCCCTAGTAACCTGTTACCTACACCTCCTATCTCGTCCACAGCCCACCGGCCACGCTGCCCTCTTCGGGGCCATAGGACTCCCTCTCTCCTCCCCGCTCCCTGGCAGCACCTTGAGCAGAAGGCCGAGTTCTGAAGACGCTCCTTGACCCTCCATCTCTGGGTGCCAAGGAAGCTGGAGGAATCTCTGACTCGTCTTCCTGGAAAGAGGCTGCCTCGGCCTTGGCCACAGTCCCCCTGGAGCCGCCGGAAGGTTGCATCAGCTGCCTGGATGCTGACCCCAGCTCAGCGGCGCAGAGGGTGGCCTGTGGGGTGGGAGACCTTTCCTCCTTGGAGAGCCGGGCACACCCTTCTTAGCTTTTCTACTCACTGTTAGAGACCTAGCTGAGCAGCCGGCAGGAATCAGGGGCAGGTCTGTGAGTCACTGGAGGAGCAAACCAGCCCTGTTTCTATCTGCCTGGCCACACACAGGTCTCCACATCACTTATCTAGAATACCATGCACACACGTCTACCGTATATACAGATATATTCTATATACAATCTATATATAAATCTATATCTATATCTATATATATATATACACATACATATCTATAATGTGTATCAGTAAGGCGCAGAGGCACGAGTGAAGCCTCGGTTCTGCCCACTGAGGGGTCCTGGCAGCTTCTGGGCAGAGAACAGAGTGTTCCGGCAGAGATGACGGGGTCCCACATCAGCACGGAGAGGACCCGGGCCTGCGTGGGCAGGGTTGGGGTGACCCAGCTTGCCAGCAAAGCCCAGCCCATTCTCTCTGACCAGCTCCCCACATTCTTGCTTTCCACTTCGGGCAGAAAGGATTTGGCGTTCCCTACCTCTGCCCCCCACAAAAGGAGGTGGGTCCCTGACTTGCCCCTAAATGAGCAAGGGGAGACAGAGGAGGTCAGAAGTTCTGGACAGGACGACTGCAGCGGGGGAGGGGCCGTGGTCCAGAAACCTCGGATGGCAGCTCCATCTGCCTTTGCCACTAAGACAGACGGCCCTCCAGGAGGGGGATCCAGGTTGCTGTCAGTGGGGCAGTGGTGACGGGACCAGATGCCTCCATCTCTTCCTGGGGCTCTGAGGTCTGAGGGCCTTCCCTCCCCTGCCTCTCCTGGCTGCTGGCTTGCAGTCAGCCCTCTCCATCCATCTAGGTCAGCGTTGCTGGGGTCCCCCCCAATGTGTGCCCCTTGGTCACGTGTATTGTCCTCAAGGATGTTTTGCTGCTGTGGCTACTGTGCCTGTGTCCTCCTGTCCCATCTTCGTGCAGCCATCCGTGTAACTGCCTGTCCTCCTTTTGTAGTTTCGGATGTTTGTAACCAGACCCAGCCATGTCATTAAACAGACTCGTTCTTCCTGTGTCTGTGCACGCTCATTGGGTCTTTTCCTGCCACTTGCCCCTCGCCTCTGTCTCCCCTCCTTAGTTCAAGACTCGACTCGGGCCTTTTTCTTGAAAGGCGACCCCCCAGCCCAAGGGTCCCCCTCACCTGTGTCTCAGCCTTGGCTGGTCGCGGGCCCCTCTGGTTGGGGCTCAGGACGGTGGTGGGGGGCCCCGGCTTGTTCACTCAGGTGAACCGGAAGTTGCAGACAGGAAGCTGGGCTCTAGAGGTGGGGGGGGGGAAGGGAGTCTGTGCTTGTTTAAAAAAGTCCGTGGGGCCTTCCCTGGTGGCGCAGTGGTTGAGAGTCCGCCTGCCGATGCATGGAACGCGGGTTCATGCCCCGGTCCGGGAAGATCCCACATGCCGTGGAGCGGCTGGGCCCGTGAGCCATGGCCGCTGAGCCTGCGCGTCCGGAGCCTGTGCTCCGCAACAGGAGACGCCACAGCGGTGAGTGGCCCGCGTACCGCAAAAAACAAAAACAAAACTTTTCCTCTTTTGTTCTGGAAATATCCTCCCTCATGTGGAGGAGAGAAGAGAGGGAGAACTCAAGGGAGAGTTGTTCAGAAAGGGGGGCCCTGCTAGTTTAGTGAGCCAAGCAAGCCAAGGATAGGACCTTGACCTTCTGGACCTGAGCTGGGCATCCCACACCAAGAGCTGAGGCCCGGCCTGATGCTCAAGGTTCGAGTGGTGGGGCAGCCCCTGGGCGTTTGAGAAAGAGAAAGTGTGCCCTTACTAGCCTTAGGCCCCCAATACCTTCCCTGAGCTCTCTGCTCCCAGCCCCTCCTATCTCCCACCCCACAGCCTCGGGCCAGGCCTGCCCAGCCCTCACTCATGATGGAGGCAACAGTCAGCAGCATCGACTCCCCGAGGAGGGACCAGGAGGTCACCACCCCCGGTGGGCTGCAGGAGAAGCAGGAAGCAGCCTCTGTCCCTTGGGAGGGCTCCCGGCTGCCTGGGAAGATTCAGCTGACACACAAGAAAGGTCTTGTCTCCCAGGCCGTGAACTTGTTGAATCCAGGCCTTCATCGCCTGTGCCTGGCACAGCAGAGGTGCTGGATAGCAATCCAGAGACTAAATAAATACCACTCTTAGAAAGCCAAACCAGTACCTGGGGCCATGAGTGAGCTGTGTGCACTGACACGGGCATGCAGAGTGGAGAGGACAGAGCGAGGCAAGGCCTTTCCAGGGAGGCGGCGCTGTGAGAGAGAGCCCCGGGCTCTGGGCTGTCTCCCTATGCTGTGTGACCTTGGGCAAGTCACTCACACTTTCTGAGCCACGGTCACCTCTAATTTAAAACAGGAGTGAATGTGAGCTGGCGAGGCAGGTACCAGGAGCAAGACGGAGGATGCACGCCACCGTGCTGGGGACATGGGAATGCTCAGGACAGAGTGACGGTCAGGCCACCGGAAGCAGCAAATGGAGGGCGGGGGGGTGGGTTGCTGGCCAAAATGAGCGATGACTCTTGAAAGAGACTTCCAGTTCACGGCCCCTGGTGGGCTCAGGCTGAGCCGGAGCCAGAGGGGTGTGGGGACACTGGGGCTGAGGGGAGTAAGAGGAAAAGGGGCATCTGTGGTCGAAGGTGGGGGGTAGTCTTTAGGAAGAAAAACCCCTCCCCAGTTCACTTCGGTTGGCTTGAAAGTGATGAAGGGGCCTCAGAGCTGGAATCATTCTGGAATGTGGCCCTTGAGAATGGTTCTCTCCACTGCCCAACCCCCCAAAGAGAGGACACTGGCAATTAGTGATTCATCCTACACTTGAGCAAGGGATGCTGCTTGAGTAGGGGGGCAGGTAAGGTCCAAACAGAGATGATGCTGGGCAGGGCCCGTGTGTCCTGGTGGGCTGAAGGCTGTGGGCAGGGGGCTACAGGGTACAGGAGCAGCGACTGGAGTTTTGTTTTGTGCTCTATGCTCAGGGATAACCTTGTCGCCGAATAGCTGAGTAACTGGGTCAACCCGCTTGGCGTGCTTGGGCGGTGAGCGATAGGGTGTTAGGAACAGGGGTGCAGAGGCTGTGAGGCACCTTCCCGGCCAAGCCGTCCTGGCCGCGCAGCCCCACAGCGACCCCTGCTGGCCACGTCAGGAACGTCACCCGGGAAGCCGCTGCTTGAGCGGCTGGCGAAGTTACCTTCCTATCTTCCTTCCTCTGGGGCCCAACTTCCTCTCTCGCTTTAAAGGCGGTAGTGCCCTAACGGGGCCTGAGGCAAAAAGAAATAAATGTGCACCCCATGTATACTTCTGAAAATATCCTCCCGTGTTTTGACCCAAGTGGAAAAAGTTAATAAATGCTCCATTTTTAAAAAGACTTTACATAAAACCCCACATCTCCCAAGCTGTTAGCTCACCTATGTCAACACTTATAAACCCAGTTGGGGACACAAGAGCCACGTGGGGTCATTAAAAGAAACAATAGCCTGTTTTTGTTTAAAATTTTGAATTTTTTGTTCATCATGGATATTTTTGTTTTAATAACTTTTTTTTTTTTTTTTTTTAACAGTCAGGCTTTCTTTTGTTTTTTGGGCTTACAGGATCTTAGTTTCCTGACCAGGGATCGAACTCGTGTCCTGGGCAGTGCAAGTGCAGAGTCCTAACCACTGGACCACGTGGGACTTCCCAGTAAATATTTTTTTTAAATATTGTATTTAAATATTATTTCCTTTGTTTACTGCCCCCGCCTTAAATTTTGTGCCCCAGGCCAGTGCCTCATTCATCTCACCCTATTCCCAGAGCTTTCCTAGAATATCCTTTCGAGGTACCACAGCTGAAAAACACTCATCCTTGACCTCAAAAAGTCCCCCCTCCTCACTTCCCACGGCAGTAGGTTTCAGAGTGGCTCAGCTGATACCTTTGATAAAAGAATTGCCACACCAGGGTAAGAGTCTGGACTTTGGCAGTCCCTTAGGGTTGGAGACACTGGGTCAGAAGGTTTTTGTGGCAGGAAACAGAAGTCCACTCAGGTTCCCAATGTGAGAGGGGGCTGGGGAATTCCCTAGTGGTCCAGTGGTTAGGATTCCATGCTTTCACTGCCAAGGGCCTGGGTTCGATCCTTGGTTGGGGAACTAAGATCCCACAAGCCATGCAGCGCCGGCCAAAAAAAACAAAGGAAAATCAAAGTGAGGGGTGCTGTATCGTGAAGGACAGACATACTGAAGGAATGGAGTCAGGCCTCCGGGAGTCAGGAAAAACCACATGGCCTGGCCTCGCTAGAAGGAGGGACCCCAGCACAGCTGCCCAGGGCCCTGGGAACTGGGTGGTCGCCTGGGAGAGGACAGCTCCAGGCCCCATAATTTCCTGGCCCTCAGTGTGGGCCTGAGCATCCCCACTGCAGCGTGCACAGTCCCTGGGGCTCCAATCCTCTGGACCCAGCCTCTCAGCCTTCCACGGCTTCCCACTGAGGAATCAGCTCTCAGACTCCCCAGCAGAGAGATGCTGTTTGACCCCACTTTTCTGGGTGAGTGTTTGTGGGCAAAGCTCTCACTTGAGGCCACTGTAGAAAGCCACTGGCTGCCCTGGGTGAGGTGCCCACCTGTGGTCCAATCGGCTATGGCCATGTGGTAGGGAACGTGGCTACTGCTACAGTCCTAGCACCAAAGGCCAATTGCAGTATTTCCAGGCAAAGGATAGAGAGACTCCATCCCCAGATGACTCCCTGTCAGCTTCAGTTTCTTGGTCTTAGATCCTCTCTGTCGCACATGAAACCCCCAACCCAGAGCAATCAGCCGCCACCTCTGACCATTGTCCTTTTCTTTTGTTGCCCTCTTGTTTCAGGCCTAACTCCCACTGTAGCCTCCCCGCCCTCTCCAGTCCATCCTCACACGGCCACCGGCTCAGTCTGCTGGGGACAAAAGGGGCGCTGTTCCTCCTCAAGAGTGTCCAGTGGCTCCGATGACCTCACAAAGA